GAGGCTTCTCTGGACCACAGATTCAAACTCTTCCACATTATTCCTACAAATACGTTTTCAAAAGTCTACTAATTAACAAACACTGTTTTGTTTATCATATCAACAATGCCATTACTTAACACTAATTTTCTGCATTAATTACTTTCCTAATTATTGTAATAAAATACCTGAAAATAGCAATTTAAAGAAGGAAGAGCTTATTTTGGCTTTCTTTTAAGAAGGGCTACAATTTATCATGATGAGGGGAGTATGGTGGTAGGAGAGCCAAGCAGTGAGTCATATTGCATCCACAGTCAGGAAGCAGAAAGAGAGAGAGGACTATTGGTGTTCAGTCTGCTTCTTTCTTTATTCAGTTCAGCATCCCAGCTTACAGAACTGTGCCACCCACATTAGAACTCATGTTAGTGTTGAGTCTCTCTAAAACACTCTTACAGACATGCCCAGAGTCATATTTCCCAAGTGATTCCAAATCTAGTCAAATTGACAATATTAACCATTACATACTTAAAGGAATACTGTGCACAGAGAAAGAAGAAAGATCATCTCAATCATGAGAGTACAAGGAAGGATGCATTTCATGAGAGCTGTAGAAGAGCAGATGATAGCTAGAAAGGAATCCACCGTGTCCAACACAATAAATCGGAAAACTCTTGAAGCTAATAGTTGGAGAAAGAAAAGAAAAAGTATCAATCCAACCAAACAGAATTTTTTTTTCAAAATTATGGGAATTGGTGAACATCTCTCAACAATAATGTTAAATGACACAGACTGAGTGAATTGAAAAACTAGACTCAACTATCCGCTATCTTCCAGAAACATACCTCACTGATAAAGACATTCACATACTGAGAGTCAAAGAATGAAAGACAATCTACCAGGTGATTAGAAGCTAAAAACAAGCTTGCATACCTATTTGATAAAGTAGACTTCAAACCAAAATTAGTCAGAAGAGGTAAAGAAAGTCACTACTTGTTAATAAAGTAACTATTCTTCAAGAAAATAGAACAATTATAAATACATATGTACCAAACGTTAGGATTCCCAGCTTCATAAAATAAACACTAATGGGCATAAAATGTCAGGCAGGTTCTGATACAATTATAGTGAGTGATTTTTATATCCACTCATCTCTCATTTTTTAGGTAGATAATTCAAAATAAAAATTATCAAAGAAACTTCAGAATCAAACTCTGCCATAGATCAAATGAACCTAACATACACCTATAGAATATTCCACCCAATAGAGAATACACATTCTTCTCAACAGCCCATGGGACTTTCTCTAAATGGATAAATTCCATGCCTCAAATTAAGTCTTACCAAATACAAAATAACAGTTTCTTATGATATCAGATCATAATGGGATAAAATGAGAAATCAAGAGCAAGAGAAACTATAGAAAGCACACAGTGTTGAATGAGCAATGCGTCATTGAGAGAGGAAATAAAAAAGTACCTTAGAATCAAATGAAAGTGAAAGTTAATTGTTAGAACTGTTGGGACACAGATAAGCTGATCCAAAGAGGAAAGTTTATAGCTATGAATTTTTACATTAAGAAATTGGAAAGAGGATCTTTGCAGACTGGCTGAGCTGCCCTGAAGAGGCTCACATCAACCGAGCCACCTGGGAAGGATTCTCCAACCTGTTGAGGTACCTTCAAGTTGCGTAGTGCATTCTAGGTTTCCTGCTTTCATGAACCATCTCCCATGCTGTAAGTAACTGCAATAAAATGCATTGTTTCAACCAAGCTGAGCCATCTCTCCAGCCCCAGGACTTGTATTTTAAAGTTAAGAATTTTCTATCTTGTTGAGGAAGTCCAGACAAATAGTTATGTAGGTCTTAAACCCATCAATTAAATATATAACAGTATAGCATTTTTTGAGACAAAGTCTTTCTATGTAGCTCAGACTGGGCTCCAATCCTCCTGCTTCATTCTCGCAGTGTTGGGCTTGCAAGAGTGAGCCACCACACACAGCTAATGCATTGCCTTTAGATACTGTGAATGCAGATGCTTCTCAGCACAGAGGGTAGAAATTTACACAAAATGGTGGTGAAGTTTGTCAATGGAATTTATAGATAAGTGTCAAGGTCTGAGGATGTAATTCAGTGGGACAGTGCTTGCCCAGCACGTTCACAGTCCTGGGTTTGAACCCCAATACTGCAAAAACAAAACAAAAAATAGTCTTGTAAATTGTCCAGTCTGGCCTGAAACTCATTGCCCTCCTTCCTCTGCATCTAAGTATCTGTAATTGCAGGGCTGGATTTAATTTTTTCTGAAAAGTGTGAAATAGTGCCAGGAAGTGAAGAATTGAGTTATCTTTGTACTTGATGTAAATTTTTACATGCTTAACACTTGGATAGTCAGCATATGGCTTTATCTTAAGACACATAATAGATCTTAACAGAAAAGTAAGCTAATATGTTTATGTAATACAGTTTCAAAGAAACTCAAATTATCAAAAAAGGAAAATCCAAAGAAATTTCTTTGAGGTCATATCAGTAGTAGATAGTTGAAGTGACACTGTGTTTTTATTCCCCTGACTTTTGACCCTGGATTTGTTTGCCCTACTTATGCTTTACCTGTAGTAGGAAAGGGTTTTGATTTCCACAGCAGAGTCACTGAATCAAGCTCCACAGATCCATAGCACCTAGTAAAGAGATTGCTAAGCAGTGAAATGTTATTGGTTCCCCAGTAATTTAGAAAAAAACTATTCTGATAGTAAAAAGAATTGAGAGCTAAGAATGAAACAAAATTATGTAAATAAGCTTAACTATATTTAATACAAATAATCCATATACTCTTTCTGGACTCTCATCTGAGGCCCCCAGTTGACTTTAAGAGTATCTTTTTCCAGGCTAGGCATGGTGGCACATGTCATTAGTCCCAGCACTAGGGAGGCAGAGGCAGGCAGATCTCTGTGAGTTCAAGACCAATCTGGTCTACTTAGCGAGTTCCAGGTCAGCTGGCGCTATAGGGAGACTCTCTCTCTCTCTCTCTCTCTCTCTCTCTCTCTCTCTCACACACACACACACATAAGAGTATCTTTTTCTTTCCAAGATACACTATGTCAGGCACACACAGATGCATTGTGAAGATGTGGAGTAGTTGGCTTGCCTGACCCTCTCCCACTCAGAGGTGGAGTACCATCTACTTGATATTCATATTGTCAAAGAAAAGGATTCATGAATTCAGATGGTATTTTTACAGCCACATAGAAATACTGGTTTTAAAAAACATGCTTGACCTAACAAAAAGGTCTCATTCAATCCAGATAAAAGATCATTATTTTCTAAAAGCATACATACTTGTAATGGTTTTCCTTCTGTAAGGCAGTATAGAGTAAGACTGTAAATCACTGACCTATCAGATTTCAACATTACACTATCTGTTGTCAAGTTACCAACTAATACATACTTTTTTGTTTCCCATAAAGCAACCAACATCCCAGAAGCCTCTGTTTTATGCTTCTCATGCCTACCACTTGAGAATAACAGTGTGAACGTTAATGACTGATGGCTCTCAGATACCTGGATCACAGGCCATGGACAAAGATTTTTTTTTTGTCAAAATGGAAATATTGAGGGCTTAGTGTCTAGTCTGTATGTTCTTTCCATTGAAACATGCATTAGGAAAAAAAATATATGCTGAGACTGGGTTAGTCATCTTTCCACCACTGACAAATATCCGAGGTAAACATCTAAAAGGAAAGAGTGGTTTGGGTGCAAGGTTTCAGAGGTTTCATCAGTGGGGCTTGGCCCTGTGTGGCACAGTCCATCAAGGCAGGGGGAAGAACCTGTTTACCTTGCATCAACTGGGGAGCAAAGGTGAGAAAGCAGACAGGGCACCAATATTCTTTCAAGGTCACATCCCAGTGACTTAGCTTCCTTTACCTAGGTTCTACTTCCAGAAGGTTCCACAACCTACTCACAGTACTATCTATCACCTGGGGACCAAGTCTTTAACACACGAACCTTTGGGGGACATTTAAGCTACAAACCATAAGAGTGATCAAAGACTTGCAAAGTACTTTAACAAAATATCAGTGAGTTTAGAGACCCAGTTGTAAAGCGACTCAGGTTGTAGAAAAAGGATAGAGAAGAGTCTGAAACCAAAAGGAATGAAGCAGCCTAGTGATGGGTTGGAAGGTTATTTATAGAATTCTAATGCAAATATTTCACTTAAGGAAACAATGTATTGACCAAAATGAAGGAACTTGCACTGTGATTTTAGTTAGTGACTAAGTGATAGCATAAAATACCAGGATAACTGTGACACTTAAAACTCTGAGGCTTTTGTTGTCTCCTGGATATAACTGGATAAAAGGCATCCCGTCTAGTAGTAGATGTCCCATCATTCTAGTAGAAGGTGATACGGTGAGCTGGGCAGATGCTCGCACTTTGTCTCTTCAAAGGAACAAAGGCAATAAACGGATAATAAATTAACTTGTATTTCATGCTTTGACAAATGGAGAAGAAGAAAAGAAATGTAAGACCTGCCTGTGAGACAAAACGCTGTGCTTCCTAGTGATATTCTTTATCTGGAAAAGTATGCTCAGCAGTCAGCAAACCCTATATGTTCTTTATCAAACAACGTTCAGACAAATGCAAAATATAAATTTATTTATCTGATTTTTTTTCCCATACAAACTTTCCATGTAAGTGTCCAGGTCTTCACAAGCATTTTTTATTTAAAAAACAAATCCAAAGCTACTGGTGTTTTTTGTGTGGAAATAAGAATTTGTGCAAGTAAGTAAAGGGCTCCAAATTAAACCACTCTCCTTGAGTCTTTTCTACCACTTCTTGTTTGTGTATTAGATGAAAACAACAGTTGGGCATGGTGGCTCATGCCTTTAATCCCAACACTCGGGAGGCAGAGGCAGGGGGAATCTCTGTGAGTTTGAGGTAGTGTGGTCTATGTAGTGAGTTCCAGGCCAGCTGGGGCTACAGGGAGACCCTGTCTCAAAAAAAAAAAACCAAAAACAAAAAGAAAACAACTTATTAGCAATAGAAATACTGCTCTAAACTACTTGATAATTATAGTTTTTGGAAGTTTGGGTCACCATCCAATTATCCTTTATTCCCTGGGATCTCTGAGCTTTTTCTAAGCTTAAATAAAAGCCAAGAAAGCAAGTGGTTCTAGGCTTCAACAGTGTGCCTCCTGATCATCTTGTCATATTAGAAGCAACAAAATTGTTTAAAGTTCTGCATTTAAAGTTGGTATCCCACCAGCCTGCAGAAGTAGGACTTTGGGCAGGTGAAAACTCAGAAATCCTTTGCTATCAAGCCACCACCAAGATGTTGATTTTATTTGATACTGAAAACACAAGGAAAGAGGTGTTGGTGTTGTGTCACGATGACCACGTTGGAATAAGATGCATGGACAGTGCATGTCGATGTAAAAGAAAGCCATGCAGTGGCTACATGTGGGCGTTCATGGGTAGACTAACAGTGCTGACTAGCTGGAGATCAACTGCTTGTCAGCAACTGTACATGGATTCACTTGTACATGCCAGGCATAAGGGGGTGAGGGGGAAAGGTCTTTGGTGCAGTTCTCGACATGGTTGATAGGTAGCAGAGCCACTGTTGGAATACAGGGCCAGCAGCCATTCTACTGTGTCCCTTGTGCAGAAAGGCTGGCTGCTGGCCAAGAAGAAACAGATCTTAGATGCCATCTTCCCCAAACTGTACCTAGTTTAGGTAGTACCTCCAAAGTTCAGTGGTTCAAAGCCATCACGAAGAAACTGGCTTCATTATACTGTCCCCAAGGGCTATTTTGTTCAAAACTCCAAGTTTAAGGGAGGAGTCATCTGTCCACACAAAGGATGTAGATAAACTTTTCTTTTTAATTTTGAAAATTGATTTCCTCCGATGTCTGTGCAGCAGCTGTTTCAACTTGTCCTTAAACAAGGTAGTGGTGAGAGTGTAGAGGATTGGATTCAAGGCGCTGTTTATTGGAAGGAAGAAAATCACTATCCAGGAAGTGATTGTGCCTGGAGAAAGAAAGAAAATGTGAAAAGGGATAGAATGTGAAACTGCTTTTCCAGTGGACAGAATCCTGGGCCTCCAGTATACTAGGCAAGTGCTTATCACTGAGCTGTATCCATGGACGGAAGGTAGTGATATAAATAAACATTAAGGGGCAGGAGAGATTGCTCAGTGGTTAAGAGCACTGGAGGTTCTTGCAGAGAACCAGGTTCAGTTCCCAGAACCCACATGGTAGCTAACAATCATCTATAACTCAATTTCCAGGGGAGCCAACACCCTCTTCTGGCCTCTGTGGGTACTGCATGCACATGGTGCACTTACATACAGGCAGACAAAACACTCATATACATAAAAATAAATAAACAAATTTAATAAATAAACATAAAATGCCCATTACACATTGCAGCTAATGCTACTTATGAGGGTATTACCTAGAATATTTATGAGCTATGGATTCAAAGTTTTACTAAACTTTTCTGAGTTTCAGTAACTAATTTTAGATTGCTGTGAAACAAAGCTGAAAGCACTTTGTAAACTACATTTTTCTATACAAAAGGTATTTTTCTTGTTTTATTGCCTTAATTTCTAGAAAAACAAAAAAAATGAGGAAATAATCTTTAATCAACAGAAGAAGGTCCCGAGAAACTTCTGGTTCAGCAGTCAGATCTGACTTTGGTAGTAACTCCATCCAGTCATCCAGACTCACTCTCCTGCCCTGAGAGCCGCAGGGCCCTAGCACTCTATTATTGGGGGTCTGAAAATTTGAAGAGGAAACTTTGTAAAGAAGGATGTGCTCCTTCCTGCAGCTTTTCCCCTATGCACCCTTTTGTGGATAACCTTACACATACTAATAGAATATTCCCAGAACGAGGTCACATGAGGGTCTTTGTGAAGAGAAATTTGGAAGAAGAGGGCCCTTCCTGAGGGTATCATTTGTTGGGTCAGAATGAAATCCAGAAGTGAAGACCTGCATTTTGCTTCCCCCTTTAAGGATTCTTTGTTTCTTGGCAAGACACTTCTTGTTATGTGGCCATGGCTGGGTCTATGGTACTCTCTAGACTGCCTTTCTTCACTGTAAAAAGGGTCTGAGTGAGGATAGCTCACTTCACTGAATCTGGAGCTCCGTGGGCATCCCTTTTTGATGTTAATGCCTGAGAGTCTCAACCCCAACAATGTTGCCTCCTCCCATAGCAACACAATTTCAAAGAACCCAGGTTGGGGGAAAGAGCTGGACAGTGTGGCCAACGATACTTTCTCTCACTGTCCTTGGTCTGCCCCTCCTTGTCCACTAACTCTGCAATTTTCTCATCCTTTAACCACTGTCATTTTCTTCTTTTCTTGAGCTTGCTCTGCTCCTTAAAGACTTTCATCTTTTCTCTTCTTTCCATTTCTCCTTCCAGCTTATCTGACTTTCCCTCTGCTGTCTCTTTCCAGCCCTTTCCTCTCCTCTATATTTGCTTTTTCTTTTTCTCATCCCATTTTCTCTTCTTTGTTTTTTATTTTTAACTGGAAAGAAAATGGAAGGAAACTACGCTTAAGCCTATTTCAGATTCATTAAAATTTATATTATTTCTTCTGAAACGAATAAAAGAGGTGGTCTGAACAGTTAATGACTGACGAAGAACAGAACAGATTTGCCTTTTGTCTGTTGTCACCAGTAATCCCACCTCAATGGGCAGAAAGAAATCTCTGATAGACAGTGCTGCTTTTAATTGAGCAGAGCCAATGGGCCCCATGCATTCCATTCAGAATACACATTCTGGCTGAGGTTCTTGTCCAGTCCTGGGGAGACCTGGTGATTTGAGATCAGCAGCTGAGTTTTGAAGCAGGAAGGCGAATGCAGGATTATGTTTTGGGCTGACCTCAGGTGCTATTAATGATGTGCCATGGAATTATGAGGTCTCAGAGGGTATGGACAGGGTGGGTTTAGGTCAATGGCTATAGCATTTCCTAGAATGCCATGGGAAGCTGTGCATGTTAGAAAGGCTTTGTCACGTGTGATAAAGACTTTTATGTTCATCCAGATGTTTCAGATAAACATGCAGACATTGAAGATAAATGTAGTACATGGCCCAGTTGTGGGAACACAAGACATTTTGTCCTGTTTTAGTGTCTTTCATCAAGGTCATAATTAAACTTGTCATGAGCTAAAGTGTCTCATGCTCTCCTAGAATCCTGATTACTTCTACTGCTATCCAATGCCCCATCACTAGATGTTTCCTGATTCTAGATCAGAGTGCTGGGGCCCGAGTCATGCTGAAATCCTAGTGCCTCTGACTGTGATTAAGTTTGAAGACAGAACCTTTAAAGAAGTGAGTAAGTTCAAATGAGGTCATCGGTGTGGGTCCTATTCTCATTTGACTACTGTCTTTTATTTATTTATTTTTTTGTCTTTTTGAGACAGGGTCTCCCTGTAGCCTCAGCTGTCCTGGAACTCACTATGTAGACCAGGCTGGCCTTGAACTCACAGAGATCTGCCTGCCTCTGCCCCTCGAGTGCTGGGATTAAAGGCATGTGCCACTGCTGTCTTTGTAAGAGGAAATTTGGACACATGAAAAGATACTCCAGCTGGGAACATAGAGAAAAGCACATGTGAGGACATAGCAAAAAGGCAGCTATCTTTAAGACAATTTGAGAGGCCTCAGGAAAAACCAAACCTGTGGATACTTTGATCTTGGACATATGTCTCCAGACTGGTGAGAAAATGAAAGTTCTGGGATACTCTGTTATCATGATCCTAGAAACTAGTAGACCCAAAAGGAGTTAACCGACTCAGAATATGGAAGCAATTTGAAAGCAGTCTAGGAAGAGTTTCAGTGAAGTGATGTGCCCTCTCCAGGCTACCTCAATGGACCAGTGACTGGGTCAGGACATGAAGAGGAAACTCTTGCCTCAGTCTACATCCAGGCTAAGTATCTGGAGTAGGAAGTACATTACAGGGGTGAAGAAAGGAACGGGGTGGGGGTCAAGGAGACGTGTTCCATCTTTCCCACTACTCCTAGGTGAGCAGAGCTTCCCTGATTTACTGAGAAAGGCTCCCTCTTGGAGCTCACATACTTTCTGGCTGCCTCATGTGGTCTTGTTATATGACCCTAGGGCAGCCCACAGCATGGCAACTGGTTTTTCATTTACTAAATAACAGTACACGAAAAGTGCAGTGGGAAATGCAGAGGTGAATAAGACATGATCCCAAACCATCTGGAATTTATAACCTTGAGGAAGCTCAATGCCAGTGAGCATCAACAAGCAAGTTGGAAACAAGACATCATGGAAGTTAAACAACTTGGTTGGAGGAGGTAGGTTGGTGGGGGTCTGGAACGGCACCATGGAGTGGGAGAGCACTTGTATTGAGTCTTGAAGAATAGAAGGTATGTTTAATAGATTGGACTCTCCTCACTTGAGTTGGGAGAAAAACTTCAGCAGATGCTGGTGTCATATCAGAGACATACAAAAGAAAAAGTCCAACCATTGGGCTTGGATCCCAGAAGACATGAGGGTGGGCTCTTACTACAGTGTAAGAGGTAGTACAAAGTTAATCCTATGTCTGGATTTTATTACATGAGTAATGGAAGCCAATGGAGAAATTGGTCCTGTTGAATTCGAAATGGTCTGATGTAAAAGTTGAGCTGTCCAGGTAGTAGTCATAGATTGGAGATTACTCAAGAAACATCTGTGGTCATTAATCTTTAATTAACTCTGCTCTTTGTGTTCAAATGGATCTCTTCCAGTAATCTGACAAATTATTATGGCTTCTGCTTTCGCTATCCAGGCCAGGAAAGGCTCCCAAGTGTTCAGCTTTGCTCTCCCTTGATTTTCAGTTGCTGGTCTCACGTGCTTGAAGGCCACGCATGCTTGATGGTGAAGATAAAACCAATAGGGATAGCTGTGGCTGTGTGTGCCACTGCACAGTGTAGCATCTGACAGGTCTCACATAACTGCAGAAGCTGGAAAGGGCTTCGAATAAAACCCTCACCAATGAAAGCTGATTTTCTCTGTGAAGTTGGGCTGTGTGCTGGGACGACATACTTCCATGGGCTGCCTCACCTAGCAATTCAGGACCCAGTATGCTGTTTCATGACCAGGACAATGGAACAGGGGCTGGTGGATCTGTCTGGGTGTGTGAGCATCAGAATCATAGGGAGATTTGGCAAAATACCTTTCAGTATGTTTTGGCCCCAAGAAACTAATCCAGAGGTCTATGTGGAACCAGGGCACACATATCTTTATTTATTTATTTTTCCTACACTTGGTTAAGAACCACTCTACAGCTCAGGCAGAAGCAAGAAACTTAGACTTACATCCTCCCTAGTTCTCATCTTTTATTATTCTTCACTGGGTTGTACTACTGCCCAGTTTTTACCATAGAAAACTAACTATTAAACACTGGGGAGGATAAGAACTCTTTGTATTGACGCCACAGGTATTGATGGAGAATTTACTGTGTGTGAGACATGCTCCTAGGCCTTGGACTGGTCACACAAAAGACCCAAGAAGGCATAATGTACTTGGGAATAATAAAAGGGACTGACCTGGTATTTCCACTTGAAGGAGAGAAAGGATTTTAACTATGAACACAGGAATCCAGCAGATGGCATCAGAGAACACTATAAAAAAGAACCGGTTTGCAACAGCCACATCATTCCCAATGTGATTCCTCACTTCTGCCGTCTGTAAGGCTGTTTTCTGAATGGAGTAGAACATAGTAATATAGGAAAACACAATGATGAGGAAAGCCAGCAAGTTCACACCTGTTGGGAAAAGCACACGTCTTAGTACCTCAGATCTGAAAGTCAGCAAGGAAACATTGGGGTTCTTGGATATTAAGTACGGTGCCTCCAACACTGTACGTTCCAGAAACACTCTTTCATATGAGCTCAGTGGTGTTTACTTAAACTTCCTCAGTTTAAAGAGATAAGATCAAAGAATTGGGTTTTGTTTAACCTCAAAAAGAGATTTCAAAGACATAGATCTTTTATGAAGTATTAGACCTCAGAAATTCAGATCTAGGTACACTATGGAGCAAGACCCTTTTCTAAAGCATGAAAAACGTCCCCCCCCTTTTTCATTAGTTTTGTTTTTAGCTCTCTGGAAAGTCAGCCCTTAAGGTATTACTATAAATATATGTATGGTTCAAAAAACAAATACAATCTTAGCTCCTTATTGTATACATGTAGATAAACAATCTTAGACTTTATCATGAATATAATGGCCTCAGAAACACTATTCCTCATGCTTTGGGTTTTAAATAAAAATGAAACATAAAACAAAAATATGTTTTTATTTACTTTAGTAAGGTTGCTCAGAGTAATTTAAACTTATGATTCAGAACTCTTTAAAAAATTTTTTTTTATTTTATGTGTATGAGTGTATTGCCTGCATGTATGTAAGTGCATCCGTGACATGCAATGCCCACGGAGAACAGAAGAGGCCATTGGATCCCCTGGAACTGGAGTTATGGACAGTTGTTAGCGACCATGTGGGCCCTGGGATTCAAACCCGGGTCTTCTGCAAGAACAGCCAGTGTTCTTAACTGCTGAGCCATCTCTCCAGCCCCATGATTCAGAACACTTTAGACTCAATTTAGAAAAGGAAATAAAAAAATGCTAAAAATTTGGCTAATGAATTATTCTTTCAGGGCTAAATATATTCACAAATATCATTATCCCTTATAATGGAGATTTGTTGTTCCTTTAGCTTGCTTTACTTTCCTGTAATAAAAATCTAAAACAATGATTAGCTTATTCCTTATAATAAGTTGAACATATTTTGAGTTGTTTAAAAAAGTCTTAATCTGAACCTAGACTCTCTGTAAGACTGGTGATAGCTCAACAAAATACTATAAATTCAAGACACTTAAAATTTTATTTATTTTTATTTTATTTTATGTGTATGAGTGTATTACATACATGCATACAAATGCACCCGTGTCATACAATACTCCTGGAAGTCAGAAGAAGGTGTTGGATCCCCTGGAACTAGAGTTATGGATGGTTGTTAGCCATCATGTGGGCCCTGGGAATCAACCCGGGTCATATGCAAGAGCAGCCAGTGTTCTTAACTATGGAGCCATCTCTCCAGCCCAATAAATTCAAGACAATTTTTTTATCCAAATAATTTCATATGTCATGGAATCTTACTATATTGCTATACAATAGAATTTTAGAGCACAGGTTTTTCTTAGGCCTCTTGTCAGGATGTTTAGCTTGGCATAAAAGAAAATGATTCTGTTAGAAAATTCTCCTCTGCCCAAATTCTGAAAACAAATTTACAGAAAGGATGAAAGGTACACTGTAAACATGCTGCAATGGGGAAGTGTAGATGAGGCAAACCACTATTGAAAATTTTCTCTAAATCTAAATCTGTTCTCAAGTAAAAATTAATTTAAAATTGTATATTCCTATATTCTTCAAGCAGAAAAAAGAACTTTATTTAGACCTCTAGGAGGCTGATCACATGCAAATCATATACAGATGGTGGTGGTAGTGGTATGTATATGTACACAAATGTCACATCCATATTTCTCTCTGTTATAGATCACAGGTGCTTATCCTCATGACTTAACTGTAAGATTCAGCCACGTCAAACTTCTTTAGTCCTTCAGCTGGACCTCTTTCTTGGTTTGGGGCCTTGGAAGCCATTGTCTTTCTCTGGAATACAGCCCCTGCCCCCACCATTCTCTGCCTTCACTTGGCTATGCCTCCTAATCCTTCCAGCTCCAATTCTCCTGAGAAGCCTTCCCTGGTCCTCAGATGTAGGGCTCCTAGAACATCCTGTAATCTTCTATTATGGTGCTTATCAGCCTGTTTTCTAAGGATGCACTTGTTGGTCTGCATCCTGCTTTCTGCAAGGTCTGTGAGGGCTGAATCTAGTATATCTTTAGTTCTGAATATAGTGCACAGTCCATGGAAAGTGCTAAATAAATCCTTGGCTCAGTACTTGTGTAATGTGTATGTACATGTGTTTATGCATGAACATACATGAAGGAGGTCTCTATGAAGTATACCTAGGCTAGGAACCATGAAGGAATGGGGCAGGAGGAGCATACTTAAGAACACACAGCTACCACACAGAGCAGTGTGTGAGCATCGTTATCAAAACGGTGTAGATGAAGAGCATTGCTTTTCAGAGGAGATAGAGAAGGAATAGCTGGAAAACTGGGAACAAAGGTCAGAGCCACATCAGGATGAGCTTTAACTGACTCATTTAAACTTGACCTTGAAAGTAGTATGGGGGCCACTGAAGGTGTCTGAGTGGAGATCTATGTAGCTGCTTTGCTAATCAGGGAAGTTCTAACAGGGATTGAGCACAGATAAAAGGGGAGGGGAAGACTATGATGGCAAAGGGCCAGTACGGGGTAAGGTTAGAATTCAGAGTAGAGGGAGCAAGGCTTCAGACTAAGGCACAAACAGTGGATGGACATCAGGAAGAACATGAGTCAGAGGAAAGTTATCTGAAGAAGAAAGCACCATAGAGCTTGTTGACAGTGAGGATGAGGGGAAAGGATAAAATGCTTCAATAAAAAAAAAGGCACGGGAGTGGCCTTAATGTTAAGCAGAACTAAGACATTACACAACAGAAAAATATAACTTTAAAGTCTAAATTTGCCTTTCATTTATAACAGAAAATATAAGGTCTTTCTAAAGATACAGAGAGAATTAAGAAAGCGGAAAAGGATTCCCGTTGAGCATCACTAACATTGCTGCCTTAAGAGCTGTGTTTATGAAAGGCAATGAATCTGGTATTTCCATTCAAATAATCTACTAGTGAGCTTCCAGATTTTCATTATTATTTATTTAACTCATAACTAGATAGTTTAAAAGAAGGACTAGGCTGTGGTAGGGTTTCAGGCCTGGGCACTAAACTAGAATTCTTTGAGCTATGAGCACAAGGCAAAAGGAAAGCAAGGGCAGTAATTGTTTTTCGCTCACCATCCTGACAGGCCCGTTTTTGTTTTCCACGCTGAATCTCTACAATAAAAAAGTTTAATAAAAACGTCTACAAATGCACAACAAAAACTTCTTTAGCAAGAACACAGATATGATAACGTTTATTTGCTTTCTGAACGGACAGATCTACCTTCGCTGGTCTATAGCATTTCTATACAAACGCTGTTTCTCCAGGGAATGAAAAATGGAATTTACCTAGGAAAATTCCGAGCGAATACCCTCTGCTTCCAGTATCTTCCGTTTGGTCGTAATGAAGTGGGAAGCATACTCCGTTTTTCCCATAAAAGTTGCCAAAATAATTCTCACTCATAAAGGGGAGTGCAGCTATTAGAAATCCCGCCACCCAGATGCAGGAGAGGATGGCGGCGGTCTGGCGCTTCCCAAGACGAATGTTGCTGAAGGGGAAGACGATGACGAAGAACTTCTCCACCGTGAGGAAGGTCAGCAGTAGCACGGAGACCTCGGTGGACAGCATGGCCAGGGAGCCCATGAGGCGGCAGGGCACGCTCTCCATCCACAGCAGTGCGTACTTCTGATACTGCCCTCGGTACTTTATGTCGAAAAAGCCCACGGAGAACAGGTACACCCCCATCAGGCAGTCCGCACCTGCGGGCGAATCCATGTTATTTTGGTTGTTCTTAGCATCTGTATTTTTACTTTTCTATAGCCTTCCTTCCGGATTAAATGAACTGATACAACTACCCACTAGATTACCAAAGAACCTATGGACTTCAACATTTGCATTATTTCAGAAGCACTATACCATGTTTAATTAAAAAGAGTCAAAGGAATAGCTAGCATTTAATCCTAATGTGTTACTTGGATAGTTAATAGAGTCACTTTCTAAGCTTATGGTGCATGAGTGGTTTTATAACGGAAGTCCATCATGTTCAGTTTATAAGTCATAAAAATCTCCATCACCCATTCCTCACTCATCAGCCTGTGATTTCAATTCTAGGACACAACTGCAGGGCTGTGTTTCATTGGGAACATATAATCATAAAGGGCAGTGCATTCACACCTATAAAATGAAGTTCACCCACCAAAAGTAATTCATATGAAAAGATATTATTGAAGGCCTGCATGTAATATATACACAAAAGATATATAGAGATATATAAATATAATAACTCATAGAAGATATTCTATTTACACAGGAAACATACTTACAACAAAGGATTTTGATGGACATAGCGTGAGTTGTATTTTCAGCTTTAATGAGAGATCTCATGCCAATGACAACGAGATTTCCAAAGCTTGTAACGAAAGCTATAACCCAGACAAACACTCTGAGGATACTGTTAGCCAAGAGGTCCTCAAATGAAGAAATACCGTCAGTCGAGGGCATACATATTCGGACATTGGGAGCATAGGAGCAGTATCGAAAGTTTTTGAAATAACTAAAGTCAAAGGGGGGAAAAACACAGTCACTTTACAGCAATGATTCAAGAATTACAGCTGTAGTCCTGCTAGGATGCAACTGTATGGCGGGTTTGGGACTTCGATAGGTTTGTTTTGGTTCGAGGTGATGATATAACTAGGGAGTTTTTAAAGTAATTTGTGAGTCTAGGTTGTGTTCTCTGAAAGATGAGTACTTTAGAGGACCCAGACCTTCAGTAGTGGTGACTGGAGAGAACCAGGGGACCATGGGGATTTGAACTCTCAGGGCTCTACTTTCATCCCCAGTCATATTGGATTAGTCTCTCCTTGGGTATCACAGAAAGCAGATTACCACCACAGAACTGACCTCTAGCCAACATCTGAGGCTTGCATTATAAGGAACTATTGTAACTCATTTAAAATATCATTGGCTGACATTAACGTCTAGCCTTCTTTTCCTTGATGGTGGCAGAAGGGGAGAATCTGAGACTAGGAGAATTCAGTCTCACTGGAGCTGGAAGGAAAAGCAGTCACCGGAAACACAGACTTCTTATCACAGTTGGGAAGGACTTCAATTCTAGAGGGAAATACAGGTTTTTTCGTGGTCAATGCATTTGTAGTCTGGTCGTGGGGAATCTTGAAGGTTGGAATGGGCCAGACCATTTGGCTTATGACCATCCCTTAACTTATTTGTTGCGATTGTCTCCCATTGAGCCCATTTTATTTTCACTCTTTTACTGTGTCTTACAGTTCATTGCTCTGCTCTTGGCTTTCAGTTGAATATACTTTTGCCATCTCCTAATTCAGCTTCTACACCAGCAAGTTAAGTCTGTGCCACCGTGTGGTGCCTTCCTATGATTGCATGCCTGACTATCCCAAGCTGCTTGACTGCCTTCCACCCAATGATCTTCTGATGACCTTTGAATCCCCACACAAACCAGGCCTGTTCCCTTCTGAGAGTCTTGGTTTTATTTTTCTGTTTGGATGTGTTCAGGTCTGCTCAAATGCCACATCACTGACTATCCAAATCCTGCATTTATCCTTTTACTTATCTTCATGAAATTTAATAGCCAATTATTAATTGGCTCATTTACTCTTATTTCAAAGTGAAATGTAATCTCCATGGGACATTCTCCCTCTTGTTCATCATTATGTTGCCAGCATCTAGAAAAGTGCCTAGCACATGCTAAGGACTCAAAAAATATTTATCAGATCAGCAATTAGATGATGGACACTGAGCGCTGGGTGTGTTAGAGATGGAGGCAAATTCTACCTCAAGGAGCTTACAGTCCAGCTCCCTGACATTTAGCATCCGATTAAAGGATTTGACAAATGACTTTATTGTTTTCTTTTTCATCCCTGGAGTTCCTGGCACAAACTTGGCTTGACTTCTGGGCTCTTTTAGGATTCCATTATGATCATTGTCTTTAGATAGAGCCATCTTGGCTCTTCCATTGCAACCAGTGGCATGTGGGAGGGGTGGGGTGATGAGGTGGGAGTGCTTCACTAAGTAAGAGGAAGGAGAAAGAAGTCTGTCATTTATCAGGGAGGCACCTAAGCTAACATGTTTTCTGTTGGTTGTTGATGCCTTCCTGACCTTCACTTTGGATTTGTATTGAAAGCAGCAGCTTCTCCATCAAATTTTGAAAAGACTGGGCTTCTCTATTCTAAGAAGAACTCACCTTCTGCCTGCAGCAAGTAAACGATAGACTCATTAAATATTTATCTAATGGTGCCACAGAAAGAGAAATGAACAAAAGCACATGGATATGCATCAAACACCTGTCTTTAGGCATCATGTCTCCTGCACAGACATAAACACAATGTTCTCCCCCAAAGAGCACCTTCTCATCAACACTTTCATCGACTGGCTGCACCCAACTTGGGATCTTACATCGATTTCTCCCTATTTTTGTGGATGACAATGGTTAATTTGAGATGATGAACACATAGATTATATACAGTTGATAAAGAAATGATCATGTTAAAAACACATATATTAACACAACTTACACAGTGCACTTTAGCCAAGTATATTAAAGTGACTTAACAGAAACTACGATAAAGATTAATTACCTCCATTTTGTAGTGCACTTAGTAACAGAAACAACACCTGGAATCTATATAGCTCAACTCTTAGAGCAGCCGACTGCTCAGTCATGTGAAGTGAATTAATGTTTCCAGGTCTCCTGAGTACCATTTAGCCAGTGACTTCATCTGGTGTAATATGTGGCATTCTGGTACCCTGATCTCTTATTGGGCCTCAATTGGATAAACAGCGTGTTTCCAGAGAGAAGGGTCATTCATGTCGGCACATCATAATATTGAACTCTATTTGAACAGGGACCAAAGGTGACAAAATTAAAAAGTTCTCAATAAAAAAGACTTTCGTTGCATAAAAACACATTGCAGTGATAATTAGACAGTTGGCACGAGTTCATCATGCCCTTTTGTCTCCATTCCTTCATACATACATACATACATACATACATAAATACATACATGTGAGAAAGATTCTTCATGGGCTGAAACATTCTTATATTTATATTTGGAATCTCTATCCTTTCCAGGTCTCTGGAAAATATATATAATAGGTTTAATGTTTTTAGGGTAAAACTTTGAGATATTTCATTTTCTGTTAATGTTTTAAATATGATGCTTCAAGGTTTTATGTTACCGATTCAAACATGGATAAAAATTTTATAGTATACTTTCTTAGAAAATTATCATTAACATTTAAATCTTCAGTAAGTTGGAGCTTAAATAAAGAATTATGTTCTAATACAATATTTTGACTTCAAAATGGCAAGTGTCTGGGTGTCAGTGGTTGAATGTTTGACCAATAAACACAAAACTTTGGGTTCCATCCCCAGAACAGCATAAATAAATGAATAAATAAATAAATGAATGAACAAATGGCCATGGTGTCTTATATGACTATAAAGTTGTTCCACACTTTGATTTAATCAACACTGCCTTGGAAGTTCCTGGGTTTTATCCAGGAGCTGGTACTTCCAACCTGAAAACATCATCCAATGGGATCTAAAGGTAAATATTTACTTCTTTCTGGTCTCTGTGTCTTTTAGAGTGGAATCACAGAGGTATTAGGGGGAGCAGTCATTCAACACTGTTCAGAACAATCGTTTTCTCAGAACTTAGTGGGAAACATGATTCCTGCAATCCTTCCAAGCTGTGTAAGATATTCTTAAAGGGCTCCATTGATCACCCCTGCACTCTGAATTTATCCAGCAGCTTCTAAAAAATGTGGGTTTTTATGACCTCTTCAAGAATGAAGAGCTGTCATGTTCTTAGGAGGCAGAAAGAGAGAAGGCAATCTAAAATAATGGAATCATTTTGCTTTTAATAGTTAATTTGAAACATGCCTGGTTTTTACAGTTTATTTTTGGCTGATCTGAATAAGGATTTTGCAATATGATTTGAGTTTCCGTGGCCCAGTGGATCTTTCATGGAGGAGGAATACCCTTGCTCTCTAGACATTAGAAGTGAAACTTAAAGAGGGTCAAATCCCACTAAATCATTACATGGTCCCTCTGGGAAAACACTGAGTCCTTTTTAAAAGTCCCTCCTTATTTGTAAGAAACAGTATATATTAGTCTTTTTTTTTTTTTTTTCAAACTCTGAAACTTGGTTTATGACAAAGAATTCTAATCTTTTTTTTGTTAAAAGTCCCTCCTTATTTGTAAGAAACAGTATATATTAGTCTTTTTTTTTTTTTTCAAACTCTGTAAACCTTGAAACTTGGCTTATGACAAGGAATTCTAATCTTTTAATTACACTACATCCTGTAAAACTTGTTTAGGAAAAGGCCCCGATGCATTCCTGAGCCTGATGGCCTGGAATAATGGAGCTCTTTTCCCTTCCCAAAGATTCTTTAAACTAGCCAACTGGGAAAGACTGTGAAATCAGACCCCAACCAATGGGGAAGGACACGGGTCTCTTACGTTAGGGATAAAAGCCCCTCAAGCTTCTGGGTTCAGCGTGTTCTTGCTGGATCTGACTGATCACGCAGGCCATCCTTTAGCAAAAGTAAAATCTGCCTTGCCAAGTTAAAAAAAAAAAGTTCCTCCGAGTCTTTCATTTGTCCTTCAGCTTTCTCTTTGACATACACCATCTACATTTTATGTGAATGGTGTGATTATTTGACTAATGCTCTATAAAATTCTAGATTAGAGTCATTATACCTTAAATGTATAAGGCAGTGCGATGCATACGTTCATGTCCAATAAATGTTTGTGGAATAAATAAATGTGCCAGTGAATCTCAGAAAAAAGAAATTAGACAATAAAGAAATGAAAGTGTGAAGAAAGAACAAGGGAATAGTTATTATTTCAGAAAGCATCATACATAAGGTGGCTTGCTATTTTGACTTTCAGGAATGCAGTATGCAGAGTGAAGAGAAAAACCAAGTTCATATCCTGGTCTGTTCTTATGTTTAACAACAATAGGTTAGGACTGGAGAGATGGCTGGAGTGTTTAAGAGCACTTGCTACTCTTTCCAAGGACCTGAGTTTGGTTCCCAGCACCCATTTATGGCAGCTCACAACTACTTCTAACTCCAGTTTTAGGGAGATCTGCTGCCCTCTCTTGGCCTACATAGGGATGTGCACATACCTGCATACAGACACACAGATGTATGAACAAAAACTAATAAATCTTAAAAAAGCACATAATAGGTTAAAGATAGGTTAAGATACTAAGCAACACCAACTGATTGAACATCCATATTTTTGCATATTTTTCACTTATTAAAAAGTAAAAAGAAACGGTTATCATGAAATTTCTCTCAAGAAAGGGGAAAGGGAAATATAAAGCAAGTTTTACATTTATTTTTGCCAATATTTTAGAAACAAAATTATTAAAAATTTAATTATTTGTGAAGATTATGGGATTAGATGTTTCCATGTGAGCCAGATTTTAGGAAGGATGTGTACATAGCTTTAGACACAGATGTGGTTTTCACGTAACTAAATGGTCATAAAAGCAGCTTTGTTATGAATTAGTTCATGATTGGCAGCCACAATGGTGGTCAGGATTGCCTGAGGATGCCTGCTCCAGTGTGAGAGACACCTGGTTAGAAACAAATATGTCACTAAGCAAAAGAATCCCCATTGCCACAATCATGATGCTTTACTTACAGAGACTGAAGTTGTTTAAGACTTCCAAACTGGTTCTTGTGAAGATACAAGAGAGGATTGGACGACAGGTTCCTTTTTTCCATTAGAGGAAGGAGGGATAAGCATGGCTGTTATTATTTTGGAAGGCTAAGATGTCGCTATTAAAATCTGATGATGAGGGGAGAACTTACAGTTTTTGTAGAAGCTGCAGGTCATTGAAAAGGTGAGCCGGCAGTGTCGTTATCGCATTGTTAGATAGATCCCTGTTGATAACAGTAAAAACCCAAAGCAATCATACTGGGAACAATTACTACCTTCCCATTTGATGCAACAGAAAATGTGAATCCAATTTAACCAACCTGATAACTTGTTACACAAGACCACTTGAGTCAGCAGAGGGGTTTGTTTTCCATCACTTGCAGACAATGTGGCATTGTGCTCATCCAGTTCCTATCTGGAATTTCCTCTCACCCCTTGGCCAACACATTCTGGCTTTGGTATCTCTGATTAATTTCCTGTTTGAGGCACTCTTTGTACTCTTCTATTATATACACGGCCTACTCGTTCCCTAGATGTTTATCCAGCTAATCTTTTTGAGGTCAAGTCTTGCTTCTATTTATTTTGCATTCCAATTAGGTTAGTGTTGGCTACTCAGTATCTACTCAGGACAATCTTGAGTGGATACATTTATGAAATAATATATATATATTTATATATATTGCTGTTGTCAGGGATTGAACCACTGGTGACTCGCTCTGCCGCTGATCCACACATTCCAGTGATTTAAATGCATTCTTTTTAATACATGTATTAATAATGTACTAATTAAGCACATTCTTCTACTGTACTGTTTTGCAGAACAAATCCAGTATTTATAATTAAATATAATAACACTGTCCAATCTAGAAAGAATCATAGGGAAGTGACTCTACAGAATGTGGCAGAGAGCTGTTGGAATTGAAGTCATGAATCTGTAGAGATTCTATAACATCTTTCTGAGCTGGAGAACCTGTTAAAGGTGAAACTCACATACAATTGTCTAATTAAGAATAAAACGTGCCAGGAATGGTGGTAGATGTTTTTAATTCCAGCACTTGGGAGGCAGGGGCAGGCAGATCTCTGTAAGTTTGAGGTTAGCCTGGTCTACATAGTGAGTTTGAGATCAGCCTGGGTTACATGAGACCCTGTCTAAAGAGCAAGAGGGGGAATGAGAAAGAAAAGAAAAGGAGAGAGAGAGAGAGAGAGAGAGAGAGAGAGAGAGAGAGAGAGAGGCTAACTTGTCATTTTGAAAACCACCAGTAATCCATTCCAACCCACTTAGCCCCAAATAGCTATGAGAAATCCAGAAACAGATTTCTAGTGGTTTTAAAAATCACAAGCTAGCCCTTCCCACTTCCTCTTCAGACAGAGTCTCATGTTGCCTAGGCTGACCTTGAGCTTCCTATGTAGGTGAGTCAGACCTTGAATACTTGATTCTCTTGCTTTCATCTCAGAAGTTTTGAGATTATAGGTGTGCATCGCGAGGCCCAGATTTTCAAACTACTATTTCCCTTTTTTTCTCAGAAAGTTAGTATTTTTTTAAAAAAAATTTATTTATTATATTATGTGTATGCGTGTATTGCCTGCATGTAGGTAAGGGCTCCCATGTCGTGCAATGCCCGCAGAGGACAGAGAGGCTGTAGGATCCCCTGGAACTGGAGTTACGGACAGTTGTTAGCTGCCATGTGGGTGCTGGGATTCGAACCCAGGTCTTCTGCAAGAATAGTCAGTGTTCTTAACTGCTGAACCTTCTCTCCAGCCCCTCAAACTACTATTTCTTAAATGGCTCCCCACTCCCACTTTGGAAGTGAGGTTCTATCTACGTGTAGAATGAGAAGAGGGATAGGAAAAAAAATCCAGAATGTGTTTCCTTAAGCTTATGTATAAAATAAGCCCCTGGTTTGTCCCAGGCTACTGCCCTTCCCCATTTTGTAATCCAAATTCATATCCTTTCTTCAGAGTCTGACCAGGAATGGGCCTCCAAGAAAGTCACTTCTAAATATGTTGCCTTCAACTGTTTGCTACAAAAAGGATCATATTTTAAGTTCAAGTGCAGAATACTGCATATGCAAGTCACTTAAAATATGTGTGAATTTTATTTATAATACTCATTAATTATAGTGAATAATCATAATTACTTTAAAATTGCTTTTATTGAGACATTATCCTCTGTCCCTTAAGACCCAGGTATAAAGAATGGAGGAAAAGTTGTTTAAGACATCAATTTCTCTTTTGAGGTCCCAATCAGAAGGTGAGTTGGCCTGTCTATAAGGTAATAGATATAATTTAACTTCCAATGATGCAGTTCTCTGGGCATCAATGAATTAATAACTAAACAAATGTTTTTGAAATCTTAAATCTACAAAACATGCATCGAACAAGGAAAAATTACGTGAATTGTCTTGAGTATTTCTCAACAAGCCTCTCCACATTGTACATGTGTTTGCTTTGCCTGCTATAGAAGTCATAATTCTCAAGAGATAAGAATTTTTATTCCTATGTTCAGATATAATCAGTTACCATCACTTCAATCAGTTCACTATTCATTCAGCAAGCATTTCTTGAGCCTTAACCATACCAACTATTAGAGATAAACAAGCCTCATATTTAAGAAGCCATGGAAAACTGACTTGTTCCCCAACACACATATACATGAAATTGACCAAACGAAATAGGTAGAGAAAGTAGGGTAGGTTAGCTCCCTATTAATTCCATCATATAATTTTAATGTGCTTTGACTTTAGGATAATGCCGGCTTCCTTAATTGGTTTTTAATATCCAATAGGCTACAGAAGTTTGATTGCTGCTAGTGGATAAACAGTCTCACTAGTCATTTGAATTGAGAATCTTGGAAGAAAGCAATCATATTCTTCCTAGTAGACGATGCTACTTACAGTTCTCCTAAATTTTTTAATGAAGAAAATGTCTTCTCTGGAACAAAACCAATTTGATTTCTAGGCAGAAACCTGTAAGACATGGCGAGAGTCAGCACTGGGGGTTTTCGTTGGGTGTCATTTAACAAGCCTTCTTTGAGGTCTCCAAGAGATGCTTTTCTGGTGAGGAGCCTGAGGCAAGAGTTTCTCTGGGAGGACGTTCCCATGTCTCGGGAAGACAGAGCAAGAGTCAGCACTGGGGGTTTTCATCTGCTATTATAATCACTTCTTGCTATGAGATGGCACTGCTCTGGGTGTTATCAAACAAACCTCTTTTGAGGTCTCCAAGGGATACTTTTCTGGTGTGGTACCTGAGACAAGGCTTTCCCACTGAGGCTATTCCTGCATCTCAGAAAGTGCTGTGTGAGCAGCTCAAGGCACCAAGTGTGGTCTTTGAAGCTATACTTTGTTTGGATTCTGATTATTTTAGAAAATGTCTCTTTTTAATTTTTCTGATCCATTATTTTTTCCAGCCACCTGTTCCATCAACAAGCATCGCTGAGTGCTTACTATCTATGGAAAACTATAATTATAACAAACACAAAATAGTTGTGTTTCTTAGCTTATCAGTTCAAATGTGCTAATTGGCCAATCCCTACTGTCCTACTCCCAGAAAAAGCACAATCAGCAATCAGATGCACCAATCAGAATCTAGGGCCAATCAGAATGCATTAAACCTTCCCCCATTTCTTTAGGGAGAGACATAGAATGAGAAATTGTGGGCAATGACAGTCAGTCACTGTACAGCTGGTCACTTTCTCATACAGGCCCTGATTTCACTGGGAAATAAACAAACCGATGTGCGCATCTTCCCAGTACTGAACTTTTATACCGAGGTTGGAAACAAGAAAGCATTTTCAAATCCACTATCAAGGTTTTCTTTGAGTTTCCCAATCTACAGCCTCTTCTCATTACTGAAGTTCATGTGTACTTACAGCACTGTGAGGGAGTCACAGGATAGAAACGTGGAATTTGTAAGATACTTTATTCTGTTGCCTTCCAGATCCCTGAAAACCATGGAGAGAAAACATTTTTAATATTTTTGTACAAGTTGTATGTTTGCAGATATTTGTTATTGATATAGCAGTTCTGAACCTTATTTTTACTTCACATTGTTTTTTGGCATAATCCCCTCCTAATTGTTGTGGGATTTATAATAAATATTACATTTCCTTTTTCTTTCCAACTGATGTTAAAACAATAAAATGGAAGGAAAGTGCAGTCAAGTATTTAGGGAAGGGAGTGCCTCTCTGTGCTGGGTACCATGCGATTGGCTTTAGAATTGCCCAAACACATCACTACTATCCACTGAGCTGGTGCGGTTCTGCACATGTAACACATTTTGCTGCAGGTGTCATTATAATCCATTCAACAAAAGAGCCAGGCATCCGAGATACTCAGAGGTTTAACTTCCAACTGTTCGCATGGTTAGAAAGTGTTATAATGGCCTTTCTAATTCAGATCTTTCTGCATCCAAAGACCAGACAACATAACTGTTCTGTGGCATCCTGGATCACAGTCCCATTTTCTTCCTCATGCCAGTCAAGATTTTGATGACGGAGAAACACAAACCAAAGTTCTCTGCACACATGGGACACTAGAGACAGGACAGAAATCTCAGTCTGTATATCCAAGCATAGATTCTTTCCACTCTGCTTCATGAATGCTGATGCCCAGAACAGCACAACACTGAGTGTGGCAGGGATACAGTCTCGGTATCACTGTCCCAGGGGAGCTTTCTAAAAATGCAGACTCCCAGGCTCCACACAGGACCGATTGAACCAGAAGCTCTAGCCCCGAGGGCTTGGCAAGTCCTGCTCTCTATATGCTTACTAGTGTTTTAGTGTCCAAAAGCACCAGCAGTAGGGAGACTTCTTTCTGCCACCTGGTTCCTTGGGACAGTGAGCCTCTCACTTGCTGGGGAAATGCCCCTTAAACCCTCTGAAATTCTCATTCTGAGCAGTGCAGGATGGCAGGGGATGAGAAAAAGCAGACTTTTCTGGCAACTTTCCAAATCCTCTCTCTCTCTCTCTCTCTCTCTCTCTCTCTCTCTCTCTCTCTCTCTCCAGAGTTTTGCTATGCAACCCAGGTAGGCCTAGCTCATGAGATCCTCCACTGTTTAAATGTACTTGCTTAATTCATAAGTACTTTTGAGACCGGGCCTTATATAGCCCAGGTTGACCTCGGAATCCATATAACTGAGACTGTTCTTGAACTTCTGATCCTCTTGCCTCTACCTCCCAAATGCTGGGGACTAGAAGTCCATATCACCCCTCATCCTTGGTTAAAACTGTGTTACCCTTATGTACCCAGGTTGACCTTAAACTCCTGATCTTCCATCTGCCTCCCAAGTGCTGGGATTTCAGGGGAGTGCTACCATGTCCAGTGACTTGGAAAACTGATTGAACAGTAGGGGAAGATAGACAAGCACATCAATGGCTATGTGATGACAGCGTCCCAAGACAGGTGTGTGAGGTGTAGAGAATGGTGGCTTGATAGAGCTTTGTATGAGCAGTGCTGGAAGCACAAAGGCAGCCACCCAAGCAACTTCTTAGAGATGTTCTCAGAGTTGTTGTTGGAAATGTACAAGGGAGCAAGATTGTTCCAGTTTAAGGAAGAGATGCACTAAGGAAATTGGTTTAGGAGGATACTTTGATATATGTTGACAGAAGAAGCATGTGGAGGAGAGAGCAGGAGGAGATTGGATGGGCAAAGGATGGAAAATGCCAAGAAAAATATTTAAGAAGCAATAAATAAAATTATTCAGTGAAGTAAGCCATTTTGGGACAGAAGCTATATGGTGACCTTGAAGTGTCCCTTATCTCAGTTATATAGATTCTGAGGTCAACCTGGGCTATATAAGGCCCAGTCTCAAAAGTACTTATGAATTCAGCAAGTACATTTAAACAATGGAGGATCTCATGAGCTAGGCCTACCTGGGTTGCAGAGCAAGACTTTGTCTCAAATGTTACACCATTGACACACTGATAGTGAATTATGGTTGGATCAAGCAATAAAAGATCATGTTAAGGGCTGGAGAGATGGCTAAGAGCACTGACTGCTCTTGCAGAGGACCCAGGTTCAATTCCGAGCACCCATATGGCGGCTAACAACCATCTATAACTTCAGTTCCAGGGGACCTTAACACCCTCTTCTGACCTCCAAGGGCATTGTACAGCATGGGTGCATTTACACACATGCAGGTAATACACTCATACACATAAATAAATTAAAATAATAAATAAAAATACTTAAAAAAAGTGTTAAAGTGGACTCATTGGACTAGGACAGTTGTTAAAAGAAGAGCAGGAAATGCTCCTGTGAGTGGCCAAAGACTTGGGTTAGCTATGCAATAAGCTGGGTTGGTTCAAGAAAGTGGAACACAATCTTACACCTTTAGGAATGCTCAGAGGATCTTTTTGTTTGTTTTTGATACAGATACTCACTATGTAACCCAGGCTTGACTTAAATTCTCAGTACTGCTGCCTCAACCTCCCAAGTGCTATGTCCTAGTTATTCTCAAAGGACATTTTATTATTCAAATGTTTTTTGATTTATTTATTTTTATTTTATGTGTATGAGTATATTGCTTGCATGTATGCAAGTGCCCTATGTCACGCAATACCCACGGAGGTCAGAAGGGGGTGTCAGATCCCCTGGAACTGGAGCTATGGATGGTTGTTAGCTGTCATATGGGTGCTGGGATTTGAACCTGGATCTTCTGCAAGAGTGGCCAGTACACTTAACTGCTGAACCATCTCTCCAGCCCCATTATTATTTTATTATACAAGGTTACATAAGTCTAATGTACATTGGGCGTATTCTCTCCCTCCCTCCCACACCCTTATACCCTCTCTTTTCTTGAAAAGATTTTAAAGAAAACCAGGAAGATTTTTTAAATCAGGAAGTAACAATTAGATTTTGGTTTTGGAAAGAAATTAGAGATAGATTTTTTTTAAAAGAAAATTTAGAATTAAATTCATGACTAGTTTTCCTAATGTTAACAAACAACAAATTCAATCGTTGATGAATACTCACAGCCAATTGAGTTGAGGCATTCGCATACACAGCTGTTCAGGAAGGGCCTCTAAGTAGTTATTAACCATAGACCTCCACACAGAGAGAACAGTAATTAGAAACAAAACACTATACCACTTGAAGAAGTGTAGTTTTGTTATTTAACAACTTTGAAAATTGTCTGTTAAAATAAATATTTTAGGATGAAGTCTTTGTACATAACTACACCTTTAAAAAACAATGCTTAAATATGTGTATGACCAGGATTAAGGAGTAGATATTGTCAAAGAAACTATGAATATGTAAGTATGATATACATCCTAGCAACAAACATTAAGCAGTTTAATTTTATGAGATGGAACAGAAGCATATATCATGCAATGATTTCAAAGTTCATGATAATTTTCCTTGTGCACTGCATGTCTGTAATCATACCAGTGTCATACCTCCGAAGTTTTTTCCTCTGGGAAGCATTAATCATTTATGACATTAAAAGGCCATACTGGAAACTGCATTAAATCTAAGACATAGCAATAAGGGGAATTTGGGGAAAGAAGACAACTTATGAGCATGCTAAGCTATGTGATTAAGATACTGTGGCCCCTTTGACAAATGGGACAGTTGTGAGGCTATATCACCAATTGTAAAGAACACACTGATCCCCCGCTGAAAAGTCACCGTGGAAGTGCAGTCATGAAGACAGCTCTGTTAGCAGGACAGAGATTTTGGTATTTTTATTGCTTGTCTCTGGGCAAAAGCACATTCACCTCTAGTAAAAAATGGAGTTGGAGCTGAGCTCCTATAAGATTTTATTAGGTTTAAGTGTAGTTAGGATATCAGGAAATAAATTTCTGGGGCTGGAGAGATGGCTGAGAGGTTAAGAGCACTGAGTGCTCTTGCAAATGACCTGGGTTCAGTTCTCAGCACCCACATGATGGCTAACAACTGTTCATAACTCCAGTTCCAGGGGATCTGATGCCTTCTTTTGACCTCCATGGGCATTGCACTCATGTGGTGCAGTTACATACATGTAGACAAAACATTCATACACATAAAATAAAAATAAGTAAAATCTTATAAAACATTGCTAAAAAAAAAACCAATCTGTTTAACCACTGCAAATAAAAACATGACTTGAGACTTCGGGAAATTAAAGAAGATTTGAAAAAAGCAACAGGCTATATAACATAATCATCTGGCAAGCTGTTCCCTTTGGGGCAGGAAGTAGCAACAGAAACTGGGTGGAAATGCATGAAAGGTAGTGAGCAATGAACACTTCAGTGGGTTTGATTTTTTAAAAGCGTTTTCTGTAAGCTGGTGTTTTCTAGACAGATGTATTGAAAGGGACATGGATACTTACAGGAAAAATAAGGAATTTAATCCAGTAAAGGATCTTTGTGAAATTCTGGTTATTGGATTGTCATCTAAAATTCTGACAAAACATACCAAAACATTTCCAGTGTTAGAGACATTTCTGAAATGAAACCAGGAAAAAAAAAAAAATAAAAGGCTCATGAAAACCCTGCCTCCCTCACCTGACCCACTCCTTCCTGTCCTTTTTATGGAGCTCAGGTGTCTTATTTATTTTAATTTTTGTACATGCATGCAATATATTGTGATTAAGTCCAACCCTAATTCTTTCTCACTCTAATTCTTTTCCAATTCCCCACCACTATTCCCTCCAAACTTCATGTGTTCTTTTTGTAAAATCCACTGAGTCCTCTCGTGTCACCAGTATGTGTATGGGTCTTTGCTGGAGCAAGGTCATACAAGGATGGCCTCTCAAGGTCTGCATTCCTGAAGAAACCTGACTCTCCCTCTCCTAGCAGCCATCACTTTCAGTAGCTCTTCAGCTTCGGGTGGGACCTAGTGAACATCTCTCTTCTTCATGATGGGATTTTACCTGGCTTGACCTGGTGCAGGCCTTCTGCATGCTGCCACAATTGCTGTGAGTTCACATGTGCAACTGCTCTGTATGTCCTTGAAAATTTTTCCTTCATCCTATGATTGGAGCATTGTTTTTCTTCAGATTCCTATAACTCTTCTCCCAGTACTTGGAGCTGATTTCTCTCTCTCTGTATCTACCTCACAAACTGTACTTATTGACTGACTATGGGCTCCATCTGTTCTCTGATCTGCTGATTGACTAAACAAAGGACGGATGGGCATATTCCCTCTCAAAGGAAGAAGAAAGAATATTGAATATCTTCACCATAAAGAAATAATACATGATTGAAGTGATAGACATCTTGAACAAGATTTAAACTTCACCCAATGTATGCATATGCTGAAACTTTACACAGTACCCAATACTATGAACAATGCTTATGCTCTTATGTATCATTTAAAATAATTAAAAATACATTTCCGTAATGATTGTTAAGATTGGTTGCCATTTCAAAAATTTTTGATTGATTTATTTTTATTTTATGTGTATGAGTGTTTGCCTACATGTATGTAAGTCTACCATGTATATGCAGTGCTTGCAGAGGCCAGAAGAGGGCACTGAATTCGTCCCCTGGAACTGGAGTTACAGATGGTTGTTAGGTGCCATGGGGGTGCTAGGAACTGAATCTAGATCTTCTACAAGAGCATCCAGTGCTCTTAACCACTAAGCCATCCTTCCTTGCCCAAGATTCACTGTTTTTATGTGTTAATTTTCTATGTCAAAAATCGAAAATTTCTTTTCTTTCTTTTTGGTTCCCTCCCTTCCTTGTCCCTCCCTCCTCCCTCCCTTCCTCCTTCCCTCCCTTCCTTCCTCACTTTCTTTTAATGGGAAGATGTGCTTCACGAAATAAATATGACAATGTGTATAAAGTGCTACCAGGCATATATAGTCCCCTAATAAGTGTTATCTTGCCCCCTCAACAAGAATGAATGATAATATAATTCTTAGGAAATCACAAATAATTACTTAATCCGCTGACTAAACGATGCTTTAATAAGGTCTGTACAAATGAACACATGGAGATGAACACATTCATAAGGAGCTCTGTGGGAGAAGAGCAAACATAGTGTACAGTCAAACTATTGTTTGACACTGTTTGGTATAAAGGGGAATAGGCTGCCTTTGAAGTGCCAGGGCCTCCTGTTCTCAGAGGTCTCTAGTAGGTAGAATTGGGAGCAAGAAGTTACACGGAGCACCTAAGATGTGCCAGGAGTTCTATTTTATGTGACAGTGGTTACAACATTTCTCTTATACAAAAGGATTATTAGAAGAAAAAGATCTAGGAGGACTAAGAGGGTTGGCTAGAGCCTGGAGCTGGGTGCACATGGGATCTGGATGGGGCTGGAGCCCTGGCTTTTCCACTAGCCTATGTGAAGACAATGAGCAAAGTAGCACAGAGCCTTTCTACCACCCTTTCCTTACTGTGCAGAGGAAAGCACACCCGGCTGATGAGATGCCTGGGGATGGACCTGTGGCTCAGCTGGAAAGTGGAAAATGCCACGAGTTACCATATTCTTGGACTTCTGAATACTCTGAGGATTAGAGCAAGTCCTGAACCTGTTTGCCTTTTAATGGTGCTTTCCAACAGTGGACAGTTTTTCCCTCTGTTGGACATTTGGCAATGTCTGGAGACATTATTCTGCAGTCACAACTCAGAGAAGGTTCCTCTGTTGTCTAGTGAGTAGAGGCCTCAGATGGTGCTAAACATCCTGCAATGTATAGGGCACACTGTCTTCCCTGCTTTGCTGGAGTAAAGAATTAGGTAAGTCAAAATATCAATAGTGCTGCAGCTGAGGCATTCTGTTCTTTGTAACACCAGATGGTGGCTGACTGGCTTGGCAAGGCTCTTGCTGGGTGCAGAGGTTCCCCTGTAACAACATGGTCAGCTTCCTTTTTCCCACAATCATCCTCTGACTTATCCATGTCTGAACTGCTTGGGCAATGTACTCCAGATTATATATTAGTCAGAATCATAGATATGATAAACCAGAGACATCCCAGCATGAAAAACTATCCAGCTATTGCTGTCAGTCATTAAAACTATGGTCATTTGTAGGAGAGAGAAAAGCCAGGATACTTACAACCAAGTGAGTTGATATAAGTCTTTGAATATTCCAGGTCCGAGGGTTGTGATGCAGTTGTGGCTGAGATATCTACGAATAAGATGGGTGCATTAATTAGGCAAATTCCACATCCCAACCAGTCACATGCAATTAGACTGATGGTGATTTTGAAATATGGGCATCCGCTTTTGCAAGCACGATGCTGGAAAAGCAGAAGCAGAGACAAGGATGACCAGCAGGTGACTAGAACCACAAGACCGTCCTGGGCCACACCATGGCCAGGGCAAGGAAAGTGGCCAAGAACAATATTTTGGGATGTTAAATTAGGCTAGAGTAAAAAGGAATAATAACTTCTGTACTTTTTGGGTCATATCCTTAGTACACTACTATTTTAAGAAAGTATAAAGTGAATTAGCAATGGTAAGAATAAAATAAAATACTGAAATACGGCGGAAATGGTCGGTCTAACACCAAGAAGCTGATACTAAAGGAAGCCTTCATATGTCTTTTAGTAGAAGTCAGAAATTTTGAATAATTCTTTCAGTGTAATAATAAATCTAGGTACCATTTTGTGGTGCTTGGGATCAAATCCAGGGCCTCTCAAATGTTAAACAAATGCTCTATCACTGAATTATATTCTAGTCTTATTTGAGCACTTTGCATTCTTCTAAGGTTCCTTCTATTTCAAATCAACTTTTGGTTCAATATAAAAACCTCCCATTCTACCACCGAAGTCTTTCTTCAAATCATACCCTAATATAATTATTTTTTTAAAAAAATGTTTTATTATTTTTATTTTATGTGTATGAGTGTTATGCCTGCATGTATCTAAGTGCACCTGTGTTGTGCAATGCCGCTGCCGTGTGGGAGCTGGGATTCGAATCCAGGTCTTCTGCAAGAACAACCAGTCTTCTTAACCACTGAGCCATCTCTCCAGCCCCCCCAATATAACTATAAAGGAGTTATAAAGGAGTTACTCACAATATTTGCAGATTATATAATCCAAAAAATGCTTTCCTGGATATATGCCTAATGCAATTATGCTGAAGATATCTGGAAAGAATAAGACGCTGGGATTCGAATCCAGGTCTTCTGCAAGAACAACCAGTCTTCTTAACCACTGAGCCATCTCTCCAGCCCCCCCAATATAACTATAAAGGAGTTATAAAGGAGTTACTCACAATATTTGCAGATTATATAATCCAAAAAATGCTTTCCTGGATATATGCCTAATGCAATTATGCTGAAGATATCTGGAAAGAATAAGACAGGAAAGTCAGGTGAGTATAGTTTATGGACGTTAATATTAGGTTGCTGTGTAATGTGCTCTTCACTTTCCTTACCTAAAGGCAATTCTCAAAATTGGATTATAAAGCACAAGGTCTTAGTCACACATTGGGGGTAGAGACATGATGGCTGTAAGCAAGCCAAGGCATGTACAATGAGGTTTGTCATGCCTGATCTGTACTACTGACGTCTGGTACGATGTGTGAATGTGGTGGCTCTAGTCTTCCTTTCTTCAAGCTGAAGCTATGGCAAGCTGGTATGAGTTGCTGGCCATGGGAGACCAACCAGCTCTCTCTGTCAAACATTCCTGATTTTTTTAGCACAAAGTTGTGCTTTTAGTTCCTCATTTATCTTCATTCTGGTCTCATGAACAAAGGAGAGGCCATTTGATTGTTTTCTACATGTAAAGCTAGAAGCCTGTGAATAGGTGTGCAGGGTCCCAGGAACTGCTGAACTGGGGCTGGCAAGTGACTTCAAATTTCAGGTCCATGATCTACAGCAATTTGAAAATACAGCATCGATTCAATAATAACACTGTTAGGAGGATCAGGGTAACGTCTACTTTCTGACCTCATTATTCAATGGGATGTTAGCCCTGAATTTGTAGGGCAGGAAAGAGCCATACTAATAATAGTAACAAATTACTCCATAATGGGTTTTGTTTTTTGTACGTGTGTGTGTGTATGTGTGTGTGTGTGTGTGTGTGTGTGTGTGTGTGTGTGTGATGCTGAGGATTGAACTCATGGCCTGGTGCTTGCTAGACAAGTGCTTTACTACTGAGCTATACCCAGAACCCCTAAGTTTTGATTTCTCTTGCTTTCACTTGAATTGGTGCTTAAAACACTGTGCTAATTGTTATGGTACTCTACTGCAAAACTACTGGCAGAACATGTTTGTTTGGCTTTTAACTATCCCTTGAATTTATTTTTAGAGATTTACTTTTACTTTATGTGTATGAGTGCTTTGTCTGCATGTATGTATACTTGGCCCCTTTGGAGGCCAGACAAGAATGTCAGATCCCCCTGGAAGTGGAGTTTCAGATGGTTGTTAGTTGCCATGTGGGTGCTGGGAACTGAACCTGGTCCCTCTGCAAGAGTGGTCAGGGGTCTTAACCACTGGATCATCTCTCCAGCCCCAATACTTTAAAATTTGTTCCACAACTGTTCCCTGTCTGAGCTTCCCAGCCTTTCCTTTGAGTCTTGATTGTAAAACTGACAAAAATGGATGTTTTTCTGTCTTAAGGCATCAGGTAAAGCCAAGAGTAGCTTCTTGTTTATCAGCTAAGCCATTCTTTAGCAAAGTTTACAAAAACTGTCATATTTTCCTGTATACCTCCATGTGGAGAAAGTTAGTAATGCAGGGCACATACATTACATCTGTGCTATTATGCAAAGCATAATACGTATGTATTATAATATGTACGTATCTGTGAGGAGGCACTTCCAGATGCAGCAGAAATTCTGCTTTGGGCTTAAGATTCTGCTATGAACAGGACAAATCAACACGGGTCAGTATCTCTTGAATTTACAGCACCTCTGGACTGTTGTAATGAAAGTTAATATGGCAACTTAGATTACAAATGAAAATAGAAAATGAATACAATAGGTTTGTTTTTCTTAGAACTCAAAAGCCTGGAGTGGTGGCATATGCCTTTAATCCCAGCACTGAGAGGCAGAGGAAGGTGCATCTCTGTGAGTTCAAGGCCAGCTTGATTTACAATAGTGAGTTCCAGACCAGCTGGGGCTACAGGGAGACCCTGTCCTAAAACAACAACAGCAGCAACAACAATTCACTATCTAACGAGGGCAGTTTCATTTTGTTTGAGATGATTATTAATTAAAAAATGTAGTGCATATTTTACCTGCATTGAAGAGATGGATACAATTACAAATTGGGAATTTGATCTGTGCTTGTCTTAGAATCGAAGGACGAAAAGAGTAAAACCAATGATCCGTGTGATTCCTCTGCTGAGTACAGACTCTCTCCTCTTACTGACATCAACCAAGACTCCAGTTCCTTAAATAATAAAGAGACCCTGGTCTTCTACTTAACTCCTGCCTGCTGCTGTGGAGAGACTTAGAGCCCGAAGTCTGGAGTCTCAGACATAGGCTGCTGAGCTTAAACTTTCTCCTCAGTATCTACATTCTTCTTCTAGAATGGTGGTTTAGGGACTGTAAGAGCAAATCTGGAAGTACGACAATTTGGCAAGTGGTGCCCTCTTTTCGTTCAAGATAGAGACATGAGCCCATTAAATATATTTTATCCTGAATGGCTTTTCTAAGAATAACTTACTGGTTCATGAATTCCTGCAGTTTCAGCTATCAAGATTTTTCAAGCGAAATACCACCAGGAATTTACGTACCTGACACTAAAGCAAATAAATGCTTTAATGACATGTATAGCTTATAGGCTATTTTAAAATGTGACATTATATATTCCAGAATCAGCGAGGCACCTTGAATTACATTTTGTTGCTAATGATTGATTGCATTTAACAAATACTCAGTTTAAGAAAAAAAAAAAACACCCAATTTTTATAAGGCTCATGTGACAATGAGGAGGAAAACTTCTGTTGGTTTCCATGGTAACAGTTATAAAGGATTATCGTCAACCCCATAAATTATATTTTATTTCTATGAAAGGTCATCTGAAACTACTTTTTCTTCTTCAACTTTAGAAAATCTTGACATTTTAAGAGATTATTAAGATAAATAAATTGATCAACAGTAAAAAAATATTATATTAGTTAAGCAATGTTTATTCATCTGGCAATTAAAATTTAATTTTAGTTTAAGAATTTATTCTTCTTGATGTCAGAATGACCTCAACTCTGCTGTGGGGATTTAGAATGGTCTAGACTAGAGACTCAGCTGATGGAAATTCTATGCTCTTTTAAATGATCCGAGATGACAGCAAATCTTGGAAAGGACAGTTTATCTTTTTTCCACTTAGAAATTTTGGGACCTGAATTATTAAGTACTTCCATATTCTTCCCTCCAGTGGCTACCTGTCACCACAAGAGGAGGTGTGGAGAGTGGACAGAGAAATCTAATTTTAGCTCTCCTGCCCTTACATTCTAGTGATATCCCTGCCTCCCCAGGACTCAAACCAGGGGCCAAAAGACACAGAATGGAATTCTGCTGGAGGTAGGACTGTGCATCTCTGCAGAAATTTTGTTAAATGCTAGAATGATTTCTCTGCATCTCTAGGTTTTTCTCTGTGATACAGTAAGCTATTACCCTGAGCATCAGAAGACCTGGACTCTGGTTGTGACTCTCCTACTAAGCAATTATAGATCTTAACTGAGTCACTTAACCATTATACACTTTAGTTGGCTCTTGAATAAGGTGACCTAATTAGGAGTTCTCATAGCTTCTACTATACTAGATGTTAGAATATGGTATAATTGGGATTTTAAATGTTCCCCAAAGGCCCATGTGTTTAAGGCTTGTATCTCAGCTTGGTGCTGTTGGGAGATGGTGTAAACTTTAAGAGGTGAGGCCTAATGGGAGGTCTGCAGGTCACTGGGGGCATGGCCTTGAAGGGGATGCTTCTTTCTCCTCCTCATTGTCCTTTGCTCCTTGGTAATGAGGTTAGAGGCTTTGTTTTACCATATGGTTCACTATAAGGCCAATCAATCCTAAACTGAACCCTCCAAAATTGTGATCCAAAGAAACCTTTCCTCGTTATAAATTGATTGTCTCAGGCATTTTGTAGAGTGGTAGAAAGCCAACTCAGAATTTAAACAGCTATTGTAAAACAAGAATCTTTTTAGTCCTTTCTGCTAGTGCTATTTTATTTCTTTCCCCATGAGTATTATACAGGCAGTGCAAGCACAATATTGATGCATAGGATGAATATGTTATGATTTTAAGAATTTCTGAGTTAGGAAGCACTGTGGTTAGAATTTCATCTCTAGAGGACTCTTGAAACCCAGAGCTCATGTGTAGCTATGCCAGTGTGTTAATGGCAATATGACCACACACTCTAGGAGGGAGCAGAAAGTCCTGACTGTATCTGGGATTACAGAGATGATGATCAAACCAGATAGGATGACTATCTATGTTCACACACAGCTCTACCCAGTGGACTTCCTTCCCTCATTTCTTTTTCTTGTATAAGGATACCTATCCTAATTTCATGAACAGGGAATCATTAATAATGTTTCCAGAAACTTTCTCTTTTATATTATGCTGAAAGGTAAACAATGGTTCAGCCAAGGTTTCCAGAAAGTATAGCATTACTTTGATGATTTTGTTGCCTAGACTATTAGTTCTCCTGACAGGTGTAGACCCTTCCAGCTTGAGCTTGGAAAGACTGATAGACACTAACCCAACCTACAAATTGTTGTTACATGGACCCATGCATTTTCTATTTGTTAATATCAATAAGAGATATCCCAATAATTTGTAGGAATATTCTTATTCCCTGTCCAGTGTAACTTTTCAAAGGCTCCAATATGAAGATGATAAGGTAAATGAATGATTATGAGCGTGCATTGTGAGGAAGGAATCGAGCAAAGGCTTATGGAATAAAGGATAGTTCATGAAAGTTGTGGTGGAGATTGAGGACTCCACAGAGACCACCTCTAGAAGCCATTTTTCCCAGGGCCCACTTGTTTTTCATGGACATTGGAGACATATCTCTTTATTTCTCACTGAATGTCAATTATCTGATGTTTTTATACTAATTACTGACATTTTGTTTCTTCAAATACGCTAATATCATTGTATTATTGTTATTACTATTATCATTGTTATTGCGGTTTTGCTCCTACTACCCTGGGAGGTGGTCTGTAGTCTACCATTTTATGCTGTAAATACTATGATTATTCTTGCCTCTATTTTCATTTTTTCCCTATTTTGGAAAAAAGTACATCTAGGGGGCTGAAGCGATGGTTCAGTGGTTAAGAGCACCAGATGTTTTTTCAGAGGGTCTGAGTTTGGTCCCCAGCACCCACATGGCAGTTAACAACTGTCTGTAACTCCAGTTCCAGGGGATCCGATGCCCTCCTCTGGCCTCTGTGGGCATTGCATGACATGAGTGCACTTACACACATGCAAAAGACTTACACTCATAAAATAAAAATCAATCAACAAAAGTACATCTAGTATTCCTAAATCTGCAGTGTTATTTTCCAAATAATATTAAGGAAAATATGAAACTATGTACTGAGGCATTGTATCTCAAGTCCATGTTAACTCTCTGGAAAAGTTTAAGCAAAATTAAGTCAGCTACTTTAAATTAAGAAATGGAAAGATGATATACTTTTAAATGCTTTATTTTCTAATCTTAAGTTTAGAAACAAACTCAGTGATTAAATATATAAACTATATTTCATTTTATTTTTAGATAAAAAAACATCACAAATGTTTTTCTTGTAAATACACCATGAATAGTTACTTACATCTTTTTGAGTTCTGTGAATTTGATGAAAGCTTTGTTTGGAAGGCTGTGGATTTTGTTTTTCTTAAGAGACCTAAAATAACATGTAAAATAGACTTCAATATGGTTTTTTTTTTTTCCTTTGAGAAAAGATTTCATGCATCCCACTACGTAGCCCAAGCTTATCTTGATTCTCAATTCTCCTGCCTCTGTCTCTTGAGACTGGGATTACAGATATGAGTCACTACACTCAGCTTCCTTATCAATTTTTATGGTACCCCAGACTCTTTCCTAGACACTACATGACAAAGATGATTTGGTGATATCAGTGGCAATGAGTACACATTTGAGCATCACAGTAACTGAAATCTTTTAGTGGCAGAATAAAATGATTGTAACGCAAAAGTGAAGTGCACTCTTGCAAAGTTTGAGGGTGGGCCACGCATTTTGAGAAAAACACCACGGTGAGCTGTATGAGGTATAGCATGGCTGCATTATGGGAAACACTTTTATTAAGTAGAATGAAAGCATTCTGAAATAGGACAAAAATAGTGTAGAGAAAGTAGTTAAACCAGGGATACACTAATTATCATTATCACATATCATGCACTTCATGATGTAACTGCATGTGCAGCACTTTTCTATGTAAGCACACCTGCTTTGCCCACACCGGTATCATCACAAACACATGAGTAACAGCTGTGCCAGGACATCATGATGGTGGTAACATTGCCAGACAAAGGAAAATTTCAGCTCTATTATAATTGTATGGTACCTCTATGGAACACATGGCCTGTCAGACATCTCACCATTGCAGTTCATAAATATTTCACAAGTTTAGCCAATTACTATAATAGATCTGAAAGCATATGATGATCTACCTTTTCTCCTTATTCTCTGGATAAGTTAACAGAACATAATAACAAGTAAAACAAAGACAATCAAAGATCTTGACCATCGGACGTGCTTTGATGAGGATATAACTCCAAATTCCCAAGGTTCTTACATTTTTTTCCTACAAAATTCAGGAAGGTTTGCATGACATAGCACACCTAACTTCATGGCTCTTTCATGTCTTTGTAGTCTGAGATGAATTTTCAGCTTTAAAAATAAGATGAGGGGGCTGGAGAGATGGTTCAGCAGGTAAGAGCACTGGCTGCTCTCGCAGAGAACCTGGGTCTGATTCCCAGTACCCACATGATGGCTAATAGCTGTTAGTAGCTCTAGTTCTAGGGACCCGACGCCCTCTTCTGACTTCTGAGGGCATTACACAACATGGGTGCACTTATGCAGGCAATACACTCATACACATAAAGTAAAAATAGTAAATAAATATTATGAAAATAACGAGATAAAGTGTTCCTCCCTTTCTTCAGCAGTAGACACACACAGAAACCAATAGGCAATTCAGAACATAGTTGAGAAGTGCATCAGGTCACAGACACTGTGAGTTGAATGTTAACCAGGCTCATCCGGGGACAGTATTTAAAATGTTTTCTCCTTGGAAGGAGGCATATCAATTTCCCTGATGACAGGTTTTAAAAGTAGTTTTAATTATTTGTTTATTTCTATTATTATAACGCTAATGTTTTCTGCGGTTTATCATAAGACTTTGGGGACAAATACCTTATAGATACTCACAGTAATGTCACATTGCTGGAAATCTTTGGCACAGAATTTAAATCAGTCTTTATACATTCCAATTCAGTTTCTTTGCAGTAACAGTGTTGTGGATACTGGTTGAGAACTAGGGAGAAAAAAAGAAGGATTTTTACCAGAAAAAAATACGATTACTTAATTATGACTTGTAACTGACATTGTCTTTTCATTAACTATGTAAAAGTTACGTCTACAAATAAATTTATTGAGCCCATAATAAAGGCAGAGAAGCATTCTCTGTAATTTAAGTACAGATCAGTGAGGTGTTCATCTCAGCTCTAGCTTCCAACAGTCATTTCAGAGGCATTAAACAGGTGAGTAGAAGAAACCACAGACATCAAATCATGTGGTGAAGAAAGATAAAGTTCTTTACAATGAAGAACACTTGCATGATTGAGTAAATCTTAATGACAATGACTGGATCAGTTCAATTCAATAGCACAAAGCACTTGTTAAATAAATACTTACTGGTCAAGATTTAATTCACGTTTCCCCTTTCAAACTTAGAGCTGTGAGAGGAATTAGAGGTAGATTCTGCCACAGCCACAATCTTATTAAAATCAACAGTCAGGCATCTTTTTATCCTGTTTTTTTTTTTTTTTGTGTGTGTTTTTCATTACCATGACGTTGAAAGTGAAAAGTAAAAGCTGTAGAGAAGGTATAAAGCTAAGAAAACCAAAGATCCATCTACATGAAACACTCAGAAGAAAGGAATATGATTTAGGATTTACTCTGAAGGAACTACAGAATTATTAATATAATAGCATATAAAAACGTAGAAATCTATGGAGAAAAAAGACTAAGTCGGACCATCAGACAATCCTCTGTGTGTGCGTGTGTGTGCGTGTGTGAGTGTGTGCGTGTGTGTGTGTGTGTATACATGAATTATAGAAGAATGAAAACTTGATGGAGGAGTAGGGAAGGGAAAAGAGGGTTTTTCTAGAATTTTCAATCTATTCATTGACCCTATGCTGCAGTTAAGAAACTGAGTTAGTTTTGAATTTCCATTACTATTAATTAGTGAATTGATTTTTAAAACAAGGTCTTGCTATGTATCACAGAGCCTTCTGCCTCAGCCTCCTGATTGCTGATATTGCATACATGTGCCATGGGTATAGACCCTCCTCTTACTAGTTTTTGCTTAAATGTGAGTATAAATTCTTTACAGTTGTCCTACTTCTTTTACATCACATTAAAAGTGAAGTAAATTTTGCTGAATTTCAGCAGCAAAGCCACCGCAGCTATTACCAAATACTTAATGTAAAAGATGCTTTCAGTGCATAAAATTTTGGAAGATGTTTTATGTTGTTTACATACTAATTAGCTCAACCCATTAAAGAAAATGTTAAAATGTTCACTTTGATGTTTATTGACATCAAGAATAGTGTGGTTGTATTAACAGATTGAATAATAATAAATTGTGGTTGGAAACTACTTGCCAATAAAATAATTTCATATGGTCAATCTGGGTGTTCTCCCTAAAGCAGAACTATGGACATAAATCTTACCCTCCCTCTCCTGCAAGCTGGTCATACCACCCCATCCTGATCTGGATTGTTCTGAAAGGCCTCTTGCATCTCTTTTAACCTTACTCTTCCCAAGGGCATTGCCTGGACTCAGATTCTTAGTGTTTATCTGGAGTGTTGCAGTAGACATTATAATCAACATCATTCCTTCTGCTCAATTGGCACAGTTGCTATTTTTGACCCAGATCCCTCTTGGTTGTGGGATCCTGTTCTGTATACACTGTCCTATATCTGACAGGATGCTCAGCAGTGTCTCTGTCTGGCTGTATGCCCTGGCTTCCAGCAGTGACCCGCCCTGCTTGGCTTTGGGCATCCAAAAATTTCATGGTCACTGCCAGACACAGTGGTCCCAGATGTGACATGCTACCCTACTCCATATTCTGCCCTAATCCATGCTCCAAAGGGGGCATTTTCTTACATTCATTTCTGATCATGTGCTCTCCCTCTTTATTAAAACAAAACCAAAACCAAAAAAACCCCCCCCAAAAAGACCCAACCCAGTCAAACAAACAGAAAAGCTACAACTCTGTTGATTGTCTACTGTGTGTAGACACGTTCTCCAAAATGGGAGGTGTTCAGAAAAGGTTCTAGAATTTTCAACTATATTTATATTAATCATATCCTTTTAAATTTCTATTTTTCTTTTATTTTTTGAGATATGATCTCACTATGTAGCTCAGACTGGCCTTGAACTCATTATCCTCCTGCTTCAGACTCTGCTGGAACTGTAAGCCCATGCCATCACATCGAGCTTAATTTTATATATTTGTGTATAATTAAGATTATAAATGAGCTATAAAGTAGTATTATAAAGTGTATACTGGCCAGCTATGGTGGTGCATGCCTTTAATCCCAGCACTCAGGAGGCAGAGGAAGGTGGATCTCTGTGCTATCGAGGCCAGCCTGGCCTACATAGCATGTTCTAGGCCAGCTGGGACTATAGGGAGACCCCATCTCAAAAAGCAAAAAGAAAGTGCATACTGTATTCTGTATTGACAGGGATTTGTTTGAGGACCTGCACGGATACCCAAATTCATAGATGTTCAAGTTCTTTCTATAAAATGGCGTAGTGTTTGCACAGAACTTATGTGTATCCTCTCGTATCCTTTAAAGTATCTCTAGATGTTTTATAACCCTGACGACAATATAAATACTATGTAGATTTATTACACTGCTTATATATTTATATACCCTATGATTGTAATATAATAGCATAGTATACATTAAGGAGTAATGACTAGAAAAATGTATAAGTTCAGCACAAATGCAATTTTTATCATAATATTTTTGATTTGTAGCTGGTTGAATCCACAGTTGTAGAACACTGGCTAAGAAGACTGTATACTGTTAGTATAATATTTAACAAGTTCACATTACTTAATGCATTCATATTACTAACATATATATGAAATTGTACATTCATCTTCATATACACTTATCCATACACACAGAGATAAATTCAATTCTACTAACAGTATAGAGGTCAACCTCCACAGTGTGTGCCCCAAACCCTTTAAGGGCAGGCTGCAGCTTCCTGAGTTTAGCTTGACCCTTCTACCTCAGTCTTGCAGAATCTTAGCACCGTTGGGAAAAGTCATTGAGCAGCCTGAATTGCATATGAATCTTACTGGCCTTGCTTCCTGTTGATCCCGTTACCTCTTCTTTCTCTCTCCAGGGACTTTCAAGTCTACCTCAATGGTACTGCTTGGGGAGTCTTCCCAACCCTGACAGAGTCATTGTTTCTTACAGTGGTCTTCTATGTCCCCTGTACAGCACAGAACCTTCACTGTTTCTGTAAAAATGTGCTTCCTGCTACATGTGAGGTATTTGCGTTTGGAGCACATTTTAGTTATTGTTTTACTCTCTGTGTCTAACATAGGGCCTGGGAAGCAACTCAAGCTCAACATTTTCACTGAAGAAAATAAATCAAAGAAAAGAATAACCTTGCCATTTGTCACAATTATTCATAATTCATATATTCCTGCAATCTGTACAGTAACACAGGAACGAACATGAACGAGGATGGATGTGTTCTTCCATCATCTCTGTGGGCCCACAGACAGACAGTACAATGGTTAGCCAGTGAAATGCATTGAAAAGAAACTAAGCTTCTGAGGGTAATTCATCCACCACAGCAGTCCCCCCTTATCCACATGGGACACATTCCAAACTCCCAGTGGATGCTTAACATCATAGATAATACCCAATCCTGAATATATTATTTTTTTCCTATACATACACACCTATGATAAAGTTTAATTTATAAATTTAATTTATAAATCAGGTCAGTGATTAGTAACTAATAATAGAAAAAATTATAGAACATACCATAATAAAAGTTATGTGAATGTGGTCTGTCTGACTCTCAAGACATTATTAATTTTATTTATTATTATTAATTATTATTCTGAGCTATATCCCCAGTGACTCAAAATATTCATTTAATATTTTGAGACTGTAGTAATTGACTGTAGGTAACTGAAATTGTTTACAGTGAAACCACAGATAAGAGGGGACTACTGTTCTCATATAAATCCATGCACCAGAAATCATGTTTTTGCAAAGCTGATACTGTCTTTGAACCAATACCACTTACAGCACTCCTGTGTTAATGTCACATTATTAACATTTCCATGGACTGTGCCAAATATGGTCGCCCATCCACTAGTGTCACCTGTAGAATGGTGATTAATATGTGTCAGTTATTCTAGAAATCAGATATCATAGCACAAAACAAAGGTATAAAAATTTAATGAAATTAAATTTTTAAAAATCTGTTCAAGTAATAGAATGATCGATATTTTCAAGATCGTAAGGGAGAGTCAAGCAAACAGTTTTGGGGTTTCCCTTCTTCACACTCACAAGTATTTCAAATGTATGCTTTGTAAAATACATAATGCAAATATTATTCTACATGTCTATATGCCTTGAAAAATATTACCTGTTTCTAATACTGAAATTTTGAATGTTTGGCCTGAATATGAGGACTGCACATGAGTGTGTGCTCAGAATTTTGTCTTGTCATGTGACAAGATTCATTCATGAAATTCATGAAAATTCATTTCATGAGAACATGGAAATGATGTGCTCGATGGAATGAGCTCTGAGAGAATTAAAGCTGCTTCCCTTTCTTGTTTGGGTGCTGGGGATTGAACCCAGGGCCACACACATGCTAAACATGTATTCTACCTCTCCTGCCCTATGATCCTTTCCAATGAAGCCAAACTAAAGCACCTTTTTCATAAAGGGTGCTGATTCCTACTGAGAGAAATAACATTTCCTCACGTTGTCATACATTGATGTTAACTCACCATGTCAGTTTCTCATTTGATAACATGATATTTTTATTTGCTATTTCCTTTTTGATGACAAAATCACATAAAAATGTACATACATGTATATTTACAAAAGGAGTCCCAAGTTTGAAGCACCATTACTTGAGCATGTGTTATAAAAATGATATTTTCATTATATTGTGCGACACTGAAGTTCACACAAATCAAAAAGTAAATTTAAATAGTCACGTGCAGGCTCCTTTGATCGCTGCTATCTTTAATTTACTTCTATTCTTTGTTAATATTCCCAACAGTTTACTGTGATGCCTTTAATTGCACTATGAGCAATTTAACATGCATTATTCAATTTGGGTTTAGAACACCCTTGTGAGATAGGTAAACAGTCACAGTGGTTGATTCCCGGGCAGTAAAGAAGAAATCTCTTTGAGGAGCTCATTCATTGATGATTACATAGCTGTCCCCAAATTGAGCACCGATTGAGTGCCTGCTGTGTACTCTACTCTCCTAGGTTCTGATAAGAGCAAAACAAAGCAGATTCAGGCCGCTTCTTAGAAGGCTCATGTCTGGGGAGAGAAAGACAGTAAAAAGGTAACACACATGGCTCTCCATGGGTATAGATATGCCCAGGTACTGGTGTGAGAATGGGAATGATGCCTGGGTAACTCTCTTGGAGGGGAGGGACACCTGAACTGAATCTTTGTTGTTGAGATACTATGGATTGAACCTAGTGCCTCATGCATACTAAGCAAGCACTCTACCACTGAGCTGTCTCTCAGGAGATATATGGGAAGATGTCAGAAATTACTTTCGTCTAAGGGAAGTGTGTGTGAGTACCCAGGGGCAGGGGAGCAAGTTACAGGCAGCTGCATGGCTACCTTATCAGATTGCTAGCTGGGCATTGCTGAAGAGAGCTGGCCTTGTGTGGTAGACTCGGAAGGTCTGAGTTCCAGTGTTTACTCTGTGACTAATTGGAGATATCAACCTCTCTCTCATCAGTTCTCTTCATAGAAGAATAGGCAGGTTAAATTAGGCAAGTTATATGGCCCCAGTATATAGTCCTAAACTCAGCCTGCAAGACCCTGTGTAATCTAACTCTGCTTTCCTCTTCACACTTTATATGCTTGCTGACTCTACTCAGGGCCATGCTGCCTTTTCTAGACCTTAATTACATTTTATTTCATTCAACTTCAGGGCCTCTGCCATGCCTAGAATTCTGTACCTCCAGAATAGACCCTTCTTTCCTTCCCTCGGTGCCTCCCTCGGTGCCTCCCTCCCTCCCTCCCTC